TCTTGTGAGCAGAGGGAGAGTACCTTATCGGAAGTTATAATTTTCCTAAATGAGAATTATTTCCGATAGGTACTTTCCTCTTCTCACACTTCCCACCCATCCTTCCCACAATCTTCCAGTGCTCGTGTCTTTTGCTAAACTTCAAAGTTATAGTTCAGTTGTGGCGTATAGAGAGAATGCATGCATCACGTGATAGTAGTGCTCTCCTATTGGTGGAGCTGTGATGCATGATGATTTGCATGAGAGATGTGTTGGAACTTTGGATTCTAACAGAGGGATGATGAAGGCTTGTGGCATGCATTTCTGATAAAAGTTCGCATATAGAGGGCAGCAAAAAACAAGAAAAGCTAATCTTGTGAGTGGAGGGAAGTACCTATCAGAAATACATTTTCACTTCAATTTAGTCTACCTTATTCCTTATAAATAGCTAATATTTACTTCATGTATCACCTCCTAATCATAATTATTGTTTGCTACTTACTTTAGCACATTTTAAATGCTTATGAATGACTTATCTTTATTTATGGTCACATGTGGCTGACATCCCTGTATATTCAGACATTTTTCTGTTTATGCTTATACACTTTGCACCTTGCATGTGCATAACCTTTAATTTCTTCACATTTCATGTTGAATATGAAAGAAGTTTTCCTTTTGGATGTACTGTTGTTGAGTCTGTGTATTCTAACTTTAATATATGAGTCTGTACTTTGTTCCTGAAAAGTCTGTTTTATGTTTCTAGTCATAAGAAGATGATTTCAGTGTTTTCAACAAATTGTCCTCCATACTGATATTTCATATTTAAGTCAATATATTATTGGTATGATTTGTCCTAGCAGATTCATCTTCCTAACAATTGTGTTATGAAATATTTATCTTTTTTTACATTGGGATTTTAACTGCAGTATTTCATGTTCATATATGTTGTTCAGATGTATTCTTGATTCTTACTATGTACTCTCAGAATGGAAATTTTATTCTTTTTTCCAATCATTTTTTTACATCATCTCAATGAAGTATATGTAACCAGTGTAGTTTCATTCTATACGTTTATATAACCAGCATAACTCTACTTATTCAATGTTGATCATTATTTATTATGCTTTTGGAAGTGTGGAATTAGCTACCATCAGACTTGCATGAATGTTTCTTTATGCAATATCTTGGTCTGCTTACCAAAAGTATGTTAATCCTTTGCAGACTCAGAGATGTAAACTTTTCAACTTGTATATTTTAGTTATAAGATCTCTATTTTTGTACTGAAGTAGTACCTCATTGTTTAACTAATATTTATTACCTTTTTTAACATCATGGACTTTGAAAATATTAAGGTTGCTGTTTACTTGACTTCTATTTCTCAATTACCTGGTTCTGTTGTCAGATCTTAAACCAAATCTTGTGAAAACCTTAAGCATTTGTTCATTTTGCATACCATTTATTTGCCAACTTGTTAAGATGAATGTTTCTCTTACACCATTAACTACCTCTTATGCCTTTAATTTATCATCATTAGTGTTTGCCTAACTCGTTGCAATTCAGTAACTTCATGCTTCGTATGTTTCATTAACTTTCTTCTCATAATTGCTTATCACTAGAAATGTTGGCTTCTTTCAGGTATGTTCATTTTCTTAGAAACCAACATTTAATGCTTTCTTGGAATCTATTTCTGACACTGCAGAGGAACATTTGATTTTGTTTTCTGGTTCAGTGGATCAAATACTTTATTTTCATCCCTGTTGTAGAATGCTTCCTACCATCATTTCTGATGACTATTCATGACACTTCAGAATGAACCATTTAATTTTGATATTGGGCTCATTGAATTTCTACTTTGCTGGGGAAGTGTACATCTGGTACTGGTCATTCTTTGCACTAGATTTAGCCAGGATGATCATACCTTTTTCATGCACATACACTTGAGGGACAAACCATTACTCTTGAACCATTCCATGCTAGATAGATCAGAATCAATTGATAGGTTCAACCTGTGGCATTACATGTCATTTGAACATATGCCAGCATTAAAGGTTTCACCCTATTAACACTGAATGTTATTTATGACACTTCTGAGAATATCTTTTTGTATTCAGATAATGCTGGCCTGTTCTTTATTAAGGGACCATTTTATGTATTTACATTTTGACTCTGTAGGGGCCCATCTTACTCCTAATGCTGACCTACTCTTTTATTTTTATTAAGGGACCATATTTTTGGCAATTCTGTTACCTTGATTACCTTGCTTGGAGGTATTTTTATGATCTTTGATGTCAATCGTCCCTCTGGAATACAGATGGCTCTGTGCTATTCTCTAGTCTGATGTCTACTATATCATTTGTGTTGTTACACTGGGGAGAGATTTCATGAGAAAATCTTTAAAAGATGAAGATAGTTGGGCAGGATACCTGCTCAGACACAAAAAACTGGCCTAGGATTATTCCAACAGAAGGTGTATGTTATGTGGTTAATAATTTCATGTTGTCACATGAAAATCTGGTAAACCATTCAATATTGAATTTTAGTAGCAAATAGATCTATATCCTGACAATTAACCAGGAGAGTGGCAAAAGTTATGTTATAGGTATGTATTCCTTTGAATTGGATATTATTTGAAATGAAAAATGTTAATTTTGCTTTATGTAAAAAACATTTTCAAGTACAAGTAAGTATATATGCTAATATTTAACTAGAAGAGTGAAACACTTGTCATTTTGCTATAAAATGTGAATAATTGTAAAACAGCTGTAAATCTTAATTTTATTTGTTGTCGTAATGTCTTATAGTTCTCTTACACTTGTTTGGCTGTACAATAAGTTCACATGTTTAGATGTTTTAGGGCTGAAAATAGTGCTAACTTTTTTACATCTTAATTTTAAGAATGATAATCAAATATATTTATAGAAAAGTGTGTGTTTATTTTTATAGTGTGTTATTGAACTTTTATTTGTAAATTTTTCAAAATGTTTAACTCTACTTTCATGACCTTAACTCTATGATGCCAAGATGAGTGGATCCCATCCAGAGGACAAAATTGCACCATTGAATTTTAAAATATTATAGAAAATAAACTTGTAGTTATTCTTCCACATATTAAAAACAACACTTCAGAGTTTAAATTTACTTCATAAAAAAATCTTATTTATTTAATTTTATATATAATTTTTTCAACTCTCAAATTTTGATTTTTGGGTTGATTTCAGCTCTCTCCAAGTGAGAACATTAATGTTTGTGAATTTTTGGATTTTTTCGGAGCAGAATACACACTTGTAGCCTTTTAGGAGGAAATTCAAAATACTGTACAACAAAATTCCACCAATTTTAATTTTGTAACCTCAATAGAAATTTAAATTTATCAAATTTAGCCAATCACCATTTCTCAATCTTTGTTGTCATGGTGTGATGTAATTGTTTATATTTCAGTTTTGTGATGTCATAGGTTAGTGATCTAAATACATAATGAAAGCTCCTTTTCTGTTCTTTTCAATTGTTTAAGCCAGTATGAATTCCATTTCAGTGAAGACTTGCATAGAAATTAGAACAGTGATAAAACTTATCTTTATGATACATTCGTAGTAGTAAAGATATTTGTGAACAACATCTGTCAAAATTATAGAAATAATTTTTTTAAAGCTTGCTTTATCATTTTATACTTCATTTGAATTATCATATTCCAGTATTATAGGAATAGAAATGTGTTTCATAGAACAAGACCAGATAGGTTTAGCTAGTTCATTTTGCACTTGACTGTGTAAAATTTTGTTGCAAATTTTAGGCTTATTTGTATCTTGTTTTGTTTCATTGACAGGGCTGCTGTTTGTTAAGTTGTATTTAAATTAGGCCTTATCAACATAAATGATTGCTTGAATGCAAAAGAAAATCACCAAAAAGATGTGTAATATATATATATATATATAATAATGAACATAAATGTGTTTGAAACTCATTAATTATATTGAATGAATGTTTTGATTAATAATTTTAAGAAAAGTTGGCTTCCTTGTAATTTGCATATGGTAAAAGAAGCCAATGATTATAAGCATAATGAAACTGTTTAAAAGTCAACCAGGCCCAAAATGACACATCTGGAGTACATAACATCTTGAAACCATTCAACTAGTTAGTTGATTCAAATCCTAATGGGATACACCTCACATAAGTAATTAATGTAACAGTCTTTCTAACAAGACAAAAAGCCAATGCCAGAAATTACTATCATGTACTGGACTTTCCTGAAGATGGCAGCAGATTAGTAGTCAAAATGAAGAATATAAAGTAGTTAGCATGGAGTGTCTAGTAATAAACAGGTATTAGTAATTAATTAATAATTGGAACTCAGTGATCATATAGGCTACTAACCTTGACAACAAATGATATCTGATCACCACAACCTTACCACGTTCAGCAAGGTGTGTGGAAAGGATAAAAAATGCTTTAAAAAAGAAATGGTATAAAAATGAAGAGCTCACTATAGAAGATTCTCAAGCAGTTTAATTTTTTCTAGATTTGCAAACTTTTGCAGACCTATGTTGCAAAAGTTTAAAACCATGTTTGCTTTTACTATTTATATCCTTCTATATATCTGCAAATTTTCAGTGTTATTAGAAATATATAATTACAACATCATTACACTTTTATTTTTATTTCCATTACTGAAAGAATTAGTTTTTTGTTAAAAAATTTAGACTTTCAGATTACAGCACACTTCATTATAAATTACCTTGAAGCTTCTGCATAAAAAGTTTCTGATTTTAATAAATATTTCATTTTTGATGTTTTATTGATAGATGTGAAATCATATTCCAGGGATTTTGTTAAAAGTGTAAAATTTAAGCAGTATTGCACTAGAAAAATTGTACAACAAATTCATTTTTATGCAATTAGGTTTTTGAGAAATATTTGTGTATCTTTAAGTATATGTATTTTGCTTGACTTATTTGAATAAAAGCACCCAGATTCCAATGTTTTTTATTTTATCTCCTTAATATTCTCAATGTATTTTACAGGATTTTAGAGAGAGTTTCTCCCCCCATCAGTTGTTCTAACAAACATCATTTGATGGCACTAGTAGCTATTTATCTAGGAGTTGTCACAGAATTACCAGACATTGAATCTTCTACCACTAATGTTGGAATGTTTGATTTTGATGATCTTAAAACAAGTAAGTTCATGTATCTTTTATAATTCAGCAACTAACAAGTACTAAATGGAAAAACTTGATGCTTGATTTTATTACCTGATATGTATACATGATTGCTTCTCAAGTAAATTCTTACATTTAAACAACATAACTGACTTTATTACATAAACATGAAGAGTTGAGTAATGTTTCTCAAGAACAGGAAAGGATAGCAAAACCCAAACCTCGTGGAATGTTTAATATTTAAACAACATACTCTATTTTGCTCCATAAAATCAATTATTATAAGTAAACTTATTAGCATTTACTTTACATGCTGTAGTAACAGAAATTTTTGTTGTGCAGTGAGCTGACTTAATATGCTCTTCAACTGTGAACGGAATAAGTTGTGAATAATAGAATAGAGAAGTAATTGTAAAATTTTAATACGAAATTGTGTGCACGTTGTAATGAAGTTTAAGTGTGCTATAACACTCACATTACCCTTTAAGTTTATATGCATAGCACTAGAGCTGGGTAATATAATTGATTAATCGAGTACCAAGGAGTAGCAATTACATCAACTTCTGTCTCATAAACTAATCAATTAATCATAATTTTGATTAATCGATTAATGTCATGAAATTAACAAACTAATTGAAATTAGGGTTTCTGGTTATTTACTGTTTTTGGTTATTCCAACTGTCCAAATAATTAAAATATTGCCATTATGGTTGGTTGTTGTTAAACATAATGCTACATAATGGAGGGAGGGATAATGCTTCATGATTTAAGGGTCTTTGGTTTGATTTTTATTGCCACTAAGCTTGCTCATCCTGTTTTTGCAAAACTGCTAAGGTTATCTACCATTATCACTAATTTTAAACTGCTGACTAGAAGGAAGACAACTAGCAGGCAGCACCTACCACTAACTCTCTGGCTACTTAATTTTTAAGTAAAGTGTAAATTTACTGTTTGTTTTTTTTACATTGTGTCATGTTTCTTATTTTATTTATTTCTTGGCTGTTGTATTCTTTAATGTTGTTTAAGCAGGTGCAGATCTAAGGGAGTCCAGATCTCTTTCTCCATTTTTTTATTTTTTTTCCAGGAATTAATAACTATTTAATCTTATATAAATAGGCATTGATCTAGGGGGGGGGGGACTTTTTCCAAACACTAATAATGTGTCTAGACTTTAGAGATTTGTTTTCATCAAAGTTAGTATTGCATAGAACATGTGCAGCTCTTATAATATAGACTTGTTGCAGAACTGATTTTTCATTGTTTGGAAGTTAGAATACGTGTGAAAAAGATTGTTTTTGTTTTGGTGATATCCAAAATAAGTGAAAATGCGAGTGCTATGACTGTATAAGTGGCAATTTCAAAAATAATTTGAATGCAGATATCATGTTTACAAATGATAAAATGTAAATTTAGGTGTAGTTTTTCTAAATATAATTATGAAATCTGAAATTTTTGTCTTTAATTGTTTCTATTTTCATATAGGTCACATTATTAGAAATAAAGATATAAGCTTTGAAATCACTGGGTTATAACCCAATTAGGCTACTTATAATAATTTTTGTAGGCTTTAAGTTACTGGTAGCATATAGTTGTAATAAAGTAAACAAAGAAAGTAATACAAGTTTGTCAGTGATACTAGCAGAGGTATAGTTGGATCTTTCCCACTCCCTTATAACTTCCTGGATCCTTCCCTGTTTTAAATAACAGTTTCTCAAAGTATGGATCTCTAACAATGTTTAACATAATTTGAAACATGCATGAATTATATGTTTGAAATGTTTTTAGCATTAGTAGTCCATCTAGTGAGCTTTGACATTTATTCTTCCTGTGAACATTAGTTTTGTTGTCAAATTTTGTATTCATTTTTACAAATGTTTTGAAAAATAATTATATTTCCAACAAGAAAGAACTGTTAACCTAAATGACACATGATGTAGGCCTTCAGCTAAAACTAGTGATGTTTTATTTTCAATATTTTATTGGTGATGTTTTTAAGTTGATAAAGTTTGTTACCTTTATATAAAAATTTAATGTTTTAGAATGTTACAAAGCATAAGTTTATTTTCAACAAAAAAATCATTAGTATTTTTACAGAGTCTTGTGGGGAGAAACCTATGGAACACTATAAATCATATTTTAAGGTTATTACAGGTTTTGTACTGTTCTACATGTGTGGTACATTTTCATGTACACAAATAAAAGATTATTGTACCTGAAAACAGGATTTCCTCTAGCTTTTTAGATTTTTCCACTTTCTGTTTGCTTGTATGTGTTATAGGGGGTATGTGATAATTGATTAAGTGAATATAATCAATTAATGAGCCCATTGATCAATCAATTAGCAAATACCACTAGTCACTCAGCTCTACATAGCACTTGACTGTAATTTACGAGTTCTGTAGTATTTGTATGAAACAAAACTTGTAGGTTGCATAACATTTGTTAGCACTTAAGCTGTTAAGTATCCTTTTAAATCAACTAATTATAATCACAGATTAGATACTTCTCTGTGGTAACATTAGTTTGAAATTTTTCATGGTAAACATTAAATTATGTAACTCAAAACTATAATTCCAATATGGTATTTACCTCTTTTCACAAGATTAGCTTTTCTAATTCAGTGCTGCCCTCTTACATGTAAACTTTTTCTTTACACATGCTACAAAGCTTCCACTCCTTGTTGGAGTTACTATATTCCTACATGTCTCTCATGTAAATCATCATGTGTCATTTCTTAACCAATAATAGCATGATATGCTTACATGACGCATGTGACTCCCTCTACACTCCTCTACCGAACCTTCACTTCTCATTTGGCAGCATTTGAGTTAAGATGTTTTTGTGTGCCTAATGCTTCTATTGTGACAGTTTTTTTTTTCACGTGAAGTGGTTCCTTTTTGACGTTATTATCTTTTATACCAATTCATCTTGTCGCTATATTTCTTCACTTGAATTTTGTGAATCTTTTCTTGTACTATGAATTCCGAAGTTCACATTACCACTTCAGGGGTCATACCAGCAACCAGTGTTTTTTCTCAGGCCTCAGGTGTGGACGACCCTATGATGGATCTCTCTGTTTTTAGCACATGGGTCAACCTTTGTTTTCAGGCTCTTCCTGATTCGGATGTACTTGTTCAGAATGACAAGGACTTTGATCATCTTTTCCTGCCTCCAGAGTTTGCTGTTCCTCCCCATTTGCAGCCTGAGGAATCACTTAGGTCTAATTTGGTACTTTGGTTTTTCACCCTCTCCTGATATTTGGGTACATGCGGATCAATTTGTCTCACAATTAAGTGAGGGGAACAGCATGCTGTGCCCCAAGGACTTCTGATCAGTTTGCTCTTTCATACCATTGTGCAGACTATCTGTGTTTAGATCATCAGTTGTTAGGTTCATTGTTACCTATTTCGGGGGTAACTCCCGAATCAAATGTTAGTCTTACCCATGCCCAATATTCTCTCCTAGTCTTACCTAACAAACCTCTGACAGTATCTTTTTTCCATACATCTCTTATCGGAGGTTCTCCACGGAAATCCTGAGGGGTTTTCTGTAGATACCCTTACACTTCTCTCCTCCACTTCAGCCCACATTTTGTCTTCGGTTCTGGCATTACATACATGGTTTCTTTGTTGTTGGAACCTTATAGGTCAAGATGCAGTTTTTGCTCCTTCATCCTCCCAACCCTTACCCATTCCTTCTAATCGGGATGCTTCTTCTAGTCAATTTTATTGATTTAACTCCCATCACCACCAGTACTGGTGACTACCTTGTGGGAGCTTGGCTATTAGAGTTTCTTCCTCAAGATTCTGTGACCCACCAGCATCTGTCAGAAGCGATTTGAGAATTGCTTTTGCAGTGGGCAATCAAACCGGTTCACCATCCTTTCGGGGTTTTTTATTCACATCTTTTCGTTGTCCCAAAGAAAACTGGAAAGTAGCGATCAGTTGTCGATTTTTCTTGCCTCAACTGCTTCATTGCATTCCCCAAGTTCACCATGGAGTCTTTTCTCTCCTTGAGATGGGTGTTTTTCCCAGGGTTGTGGATGATAAAAATGGACGTTTCCAATGCTTACCTCCACATCCCGAAAGAACATCAGTTTCAACCTTATCTTCAGTTTGTCCATCTCATGGTGGTTTACCAATTTTGGGCCCTCCCCTTTGGACTTGCCTTGGCTCCTTATATGTTTTGTCAGATAGTTCGGCTTTTGCACATCATCTCCATGCTCTGGGAATTCAATTTCGATATTACATGGACAACTGACTCATTCTGAGCAGGAATCGGCCACTCATACTCACCAACTCCTTTCTGTGGTGGCTTGGGTGGGCTGGTTGATCAAATGGGAGAATTCATTCCTTCGACCCACTCAATATCTAATCTATTGGGGGGGTCTTTTTCGACATGAATACCAGTCATGCTCTGCCTTCTCCTTTATGTTTTCATTCAATGGGATTTTTGGTTCACAATGCCCTCTTGGCTCAGTCACTTACTGCTCATGAGGTTCTATCACTTTTGGGGATGTGATCTTCCATGACTGCAGTGGTCCCTCACAATCATGCCCATATGAGATCCTTTCAGTGGGAGTTTCAAGTACACTGGAACCTTTCTTGGGAGGATCCTACTTCCCTGCAAGACGATCTGCAATGGTGGTGGGACCAAGCCCATATTTCAGTGGGTATGCTGCTTCCTTCCCCATGTCCAGATCTACAACTTTTCATGGATGCATCCCTTCAGGGATGGGGGGGGGGGGCTTGGGTCAATCACCAGGAAGCTTTGGGCTGTTGGTTTGTGGACAAAACCATCTTGCATATCAATGTTCTCAAACTTCTAGCAGTGTTGCATCACTTCCTTCTTCTCACTTGTCGTTGTCCGGTGATGGTTCATTTGTACAATTCTATGGTGGTGGCACATATCAACCACCAAGGGAGCACATATTCCTGAGATCTATATTTATCATCATATTCATCTTATAGTATGCCATGTGCTGGGCGCTTTCAATCTAGTTATGGATCATCTTTCGTGCCCCAACCAGATATATCCAGTGGAGTGAGCATTAGATCCACTCGTTTCAGGGATTTTTGCCATTGGTGGGGTTCTCCTTACTTGGATCCCTTTCCAACGGTCCTCAATACCAAGTTGCCCCTCTTTTGGTCACCTTTAGCACATCCACAGGCTTTGGCCTTCGATGCCTTCAGCCATGATTGGTCACACAATATCTTTGTGTACCCTCCCATCCAATTGCTTCATTGGGTGATTTCTTTTGTCAACTCCACTCCTTGTCGGGTCCTCCCTACTGACCAGCTCAACCTTGGTTTCCAAGGTTACAACATCTGCTCCTATCATAACCTGTCCCTCTTCCACTTTCTTCCTCTCTTCTTCATCAACCTCAATCCCACATTCTACATCCCAATCTCGACATCCTGTATCTTCACACCTGGCTTGTGTCCGGGCTCTGGTGAGACAATTCGGTTTCACATGTCAAGTCGCTTTCTTGTTAGCTAGTTCCATACGGAAGCATACCAACACAAGTGGAAAGTCTTCTGTTGTTGGTCTGCTAGTAGGAGGTTTCCTGTTGACAAGCCTTCTGTGGCTCATGTGGTGGAATTTTTCACCTGACTCTTCGAGTGTGGTTCTTCGGTCTCCTCGTTTTCAAGATATCAGTCTGCCCTATCCCATACCTGCCATTTTTCCCGATACTGTTGGGTTTTTACTTCCCCTGTTCTTACCATGCTCATGCATACCTCCCGGATATTTCAACCTCCCAGGTGTCCTGCCCTTCCAAATTAGGACATTAATGTGGTCCTTCATGCCCTTATATTACCTCCATTTGAACCACTTTCTTTGTGTTCCTTGTTTCATCTACCCCTTAAAACATATTTCCTTTTTCTCTTAGCCTGTGGATGTCAACAGGCAGATTTGTTTGCCATTGATGTTTCATGTACCCTTTATCACCCTATCTATCTTCTTGTTTATCCCAATCGTAACTTTCTGATTAAGACCTTGGTAACTTGGAAGGGTTGTTCATCCTTTTTTTCCTATTTCCCTTTCTTCTACATCCCATCTTTACCTTTAACCAGATCTGGATAGACTTCTGTGTCTGGTCAGGACTCCCTTCATTGTTATGTAGTACGTACTGCTAACTTTCGGGATATGAGCAACCAACTATTTATCCCATTGCAGTCCTCCTCCCTTCATGATCTTTCACCTTTTACCATTACTAATTGGGTCCATCTTTTGGTTCATTTGGCCTACCTTCTTCCTCTCATACCTTGTTCCAGGTTTCCTCCCATCAGATCCGACATCTCACTTTTCCCTCAATTATCGTCTTTGTCATCCGATTGAGGAGATTCTACAGTGCAGCATGTGGTCCACTCCCCATATGTTCATCTCTCAATATCTTCATTATGTCATTTTTTCCTCTTTGTCAGGGTTTTTGTCTACCACCTGTGGCTGTTCTGAAGACTCCAGTGTGACTTAAACTGATAAGTTTTATTATTTTTTTTTCAGGGGCCTTTATCTCCCTTCAGGTATCCTTTAATTCTAAATCCTCACTGTACAGCCATGTTGACTTGTGCTTTATTTTCCATGGCTTTGCATGCTCATCATTGAGATGACAGATCATCATTGAACTGACAGTGAATAACCTCATGATATTTTGCTTCATAAACATGCCCATCCCAGACCATACCACCCATGGACTGCATGGGTAAATTGGTAGGAGATTGCTGCTCATCCTTACCATGCCTTGAGTGAGTAACTTGGTATGGTCTGCTTTTCAAAGTAAGATTTTTTGGTCACCCATTGCACTGTCTCCGATGATGATGTTCCTCCAGACTCTCCACTGCATTGTCATCCTCCTTTTCTCGAGAGGAATATGGGAGTCTTACCACTTTCCAGTTCCAAGCTGGGTTAATTGACCATGAAGGCACCCTTCTGAATGAGTTCCTCAAAGAAAGGGCTAGAACTATGCAGTTGAGAGTAGGGTAGTGCTAGTTTAGATGAGACATGGCCTCCAGAGGAGATGAGCCTTCACCTTGCTGGATTATGTGGCCTTCTGATAACATTTACACAACACCCGGAATTGAGCTGTCTCCTTCCTGGAAGATGTGGCCTCCTGATACCATTTACACAACATTGGAGTTGAGCTGTTGCCTTACTGGATGATGTGGCCTCCTGATACCAATTTCACACCCACGAGAGTTGAACTGTCACCTTACTGGATGATGTGGCCTCCTGTAACCATTTACACAACATTGGAGTTGAACCATCAAAATTTCAGTTCATCACTTTGATTGGGAGACTCATCCTACCCTCGTGTGGATGTCAGTATCCCACAAAAAGGTTTTTGATTAGAGTGAACCAATCACTGTGAGTCCTCACAAGTTTGGGTTGTATATCTTCCTCTACCAATTACTCTGCCTTTACTATTCCTTGTTCTCTTCTTATGGGGATGTTATTGCCTTTGGATGGTGCTGGCCTGTGCCATGGTTGGGTAAGCTGATTCCATGTGATAGACATCATTTTGATACCGGATGCCAATTCCCTGATCAAAAGATAAGAGATGATCTTCGTGTCATACCCAGAAATCGATGCGGGTCTTAATCCCTGATTCTTGGGCATAAGGTGAAGATGGTATGATCCTCATCCTACCCTCACAAGGATGTCAGTACCCCGCAAAGAGGTTTTGGATGTAATTGACTTACCAAGTATGGTCCACTGTGCCCTAGACATTCTACACCTCAATTTTTGCCCTTATGTCTTATACATTCCGCACATGGGCGAAGAGTATACCTGGCTCAGAGGTGGTGCAGTTCCCCTCTTCTGATCTTCGAATCTGTATCTCTCATTGTAAGGGGTATCCTTTGGATGCTTTCAGGGATACTTCTTTCGTTCCCTCGCGCCAGTCATTCCTCCTTCTCAATGTGGGATTCTAGCTAATCTTTGTGAGAGGAGGTAAGTACTGTATCAGAAGCTATAATTTTCCTATATTGAAAATGTATTTTTGACAGGTAATTACCTCCTCTCACACTTCCCACCCTTCCTTCCCATTTCTCCGGTGCTCACACATTATGCCAAAGTTCGAAGTGAAGGTTCGGTGGAGGAGTGTAGAGGGAGTCACATGCACCATTGTAAGCATATCCTGCTACTATTGGGTAAGAGATGATGAATGATGATATACATGAGAGATATGTTGGAATATAGTAATTCCAACAGGGGGTGAGTGAAAGGCTTGTGGCATGCATAAAGAAAAAGTATATAGAGGGCAGCACTGAACAAGAATAGGTAATCTTGTGAGTAGAGGTAAGTACCTATTGGAAATTATTTTCAGTATAGGAAAAATTATAACTTCATTAAAAAGATGTGTAACTTTAAACTGTTAATAGAGTTGTTTAGCAAATTATTTAAATATCCAGGTAATTTTCACCTTGTAAGTTATTTCCTCATTGTTGTTAAATTACTGACTTCCTGGTGATAGTTTTGGATCATGATCTGATTATTTTCTTGTAGGTTTAGTTGATATACTATTTATCATTTTATACAGATTAAAATTTTTGAGAAATACACATTACAAAGACTTTGTCAGAAATCTTCGTATAAAAGTACTTTGAAGTTCAGGTGGATGGATTGAGTATGCAGAAACTTGAATAATGAACAGTTTTTGCTAATGATGACACAGGTGCAGTAAGAAGTCAAGGTATCTTTGTAGTTTATTGATATTTTAAAAACAGTTTCAGACTCATGCTGTTGAAGTTCATATATAAGTGTTGACATCAAAATGAGAATGACTACTGATTAGCTAGATGTGTTTGCTGGTAATTAAAATTTATTGTCTGTATCGAACTATGGAACATTTCATATAATTGTTTAATATCAAAATTTTTCAACAAACTTATGAAATGTTTAATACTTGTTGGTTTATTATTACTAGATATTTGTCTAAAACATATTGTGTTATTTTCAGTTCACAGGAAGATAATAGAAGACAACAGTGGTACTGAATCTCTTGGAGGTGACTGGTCTTTTTGTGCAGGTTGGTGTGTTTGTTATAAACAAGTAGCTATTCACACTACTCTAGTTCAGTAGATGTTAGATGCTTACAGTTGTTTTGCTGATACAAAAACATATTTCATCAGAATAAATGAAACAGGAAGATGATGTTTATCATTGATATTTATCCTAACATACTGATTTACCTGGTTCTGTAGTAGACTCTGTTTAGATGGATGATAGTTTAAAAGTGTGTAATACTTCACCCCATGTAACTACATAATTTTTAACTATCTTTTCATCCCTTTTAAAGTCCACAACCACACAGATATCATCAATTTTCATGAAGTGTTTGGATTTTTACATCAAAGTATTGAGTAATAACTCAATGTGATCAAAACTATGTATCAATTTTTCTACAATATACAAGGTGTACAGAAATTATTGTGACAAATTTATTAATATTTCTTTCTGGGTGTATTGATATTTGTGTTGGGCCCCGTAATGCCACTTTGGTATACCATGCAGGTTGTAATGTATCTCAATTGGGCTTACTGAATTTTAGTAGCTATTGTAAGAGGATATTCAACCATTGAAACACAAGTAAACAATTTTATTTACATAATTTCTGGAGATCCTGTATATTTCTTTATAATTTTATGAAGTGAGGAATGGGCCTTAATATTTAATGTAAGGGAATCAATTTTACTTCTGTGTGAGAAAAGATGCAAGCTATAGTGTTAAATAACTGTACACATTTAATGCTATATTGCAGAAAATGAGAGACTGGTTAAGTTCCATTCTGTGAATGCACCTAAGAGCTGCAATTTTGGGAGAAGGTGAAGAGTGTGCTGTAGTAGCATTTTATTGTAGCTGTAACAATATATTTCACAATGCATGGGTTAGATATGATATAATATCAGCTACAAGTGGTTGTAGCTAGGGGTTAAGCATGTGGATGGTGTTGGTAGATAAGTACATCTGTTCTCTGGAGGTGGCTGGTACTGATGGCCTGTGTTACCTAGGATCTATGATACAATGATCACTATACGTGATATGCAAATCATTAAAGCACTATATTGTATTTATAAGCATTATATATCATAATCTGAGTCCATTTTGCCATGAAGGCACAGAGAAAATGCTATAGTTTTCATAAGAAGCTCATTTTTATTAACAAGGAAGGAGAATGATTTTAAAAGTTCAATTTTTGTCCTTTTCAATTTTGGGATTATAATTCTTCAGTTTTCATCAAATATACTTCTTCTTAATAATATAAACTTGAAATTACATTTATTACTTTGTTTTTTTATACAGGAATATGTATGTTTGAAAGTACTATTTGTGAATTTTTCTTGTATCTCTCTTACTAGGTACTTTATAACAACTTTTCTGAATTTTATAGTTTTGAATATGCCCCAATCTATAATCATGTATAGGATACACTGTTTATTTTTAAATTCATATTAACTTTTTAGTAAGCCTATTACTGTATTTGCTAAAATGGCATTTGGAACCAGAAGAAGTTGCAAGGTAAAATATTGAGGTTGTAAAAAAAAAAAATCTGGGAAAAGGCTATTTCTCTTTTCTATAACACATGTTTACACACTAGTATACATGAGCCATTTTCATTTTATCCAAAGCATTTGGATAAAAATGATAGTAAAATACACAAATTAATATCTGATATACACCACTAGTGATAATACAATACAAAAATTAATATCTGATATACACCACTAACTTAAAAAGTACTTACAGGACTTGGTTCGTTAATTATTGTGCTATAGAATTTGAAGTTATAAAATAGCACTTCAGTTAGTTACCAATGAATTTTATAACACCCCTCTTTAACCCTAGAATTACTGGTGGGATGTATATGGACACCATTCATTGGTTTTAGACATTTTTCTACTATTCATTTATCAAATTGCTTACGGGGCCATGAACTATTAGTTATAGGGTCCCTAATAATGTAAGAATCACAAAAAATTTATTAAAGCAAAAATACTGTTAGTACTGCAGTTAATCTGACTAATTACTGCTGGGGTTTCTTTTAATTTGAGAGCTAAACCATGCAGATAAGTATGAGGTAATTTCATTCATGAATATTAAACTTCTACTAGACTCATATTAGAATGTGATATACATTGAATGACCACATTATTAGGATTCTCCTCATGTATTTGTAAAGAGTGTAAATTGTAGTATAATGAGCCACATTTTCTGTATTGATGGTTTAACTGGAGTTAGTACAGTGGTGTGGGAAATGATCTTTTTGCAGATGTCAAGTACTTTGATTCTTTTAGAAAAATGAATGGCAACAGATCACCTCACTCATATTCCCGTAAGTTGGTTTCTAGAGGACAAAAGCGACTTCAGTCATCTTCCCAAATCATTGGATCTCAATCTTTGTGATGAACTTGTATGTCACATCCTTTGTCAACATCTGTGAATCATTTGCTCCATACTCCTTAAACAAGATACCTTCTGGGAATGTGTGTAAGCTGTTACTGAAGTGAAAAACCTGATAATAGGAGTTATGATAAAGTGGCCTTTCAGTGTATTGAAACACTTTTACCTTACTATGTTAATACTAATTTGAGCATTTTGTGGCCCTAATATACTTTTCTCAGCTCACAAGTAATGTTTCTGAACTACAGAGGTATAATAAAAGTTTAAACCTTTCACTGCAGGCAGGTTAAAAAGTGCATGTCTTGACCTTTTAGAGTTATTTTAAAAATTTTATTAAACAACTTTACTGTTACTTATGTCAATGGAATTGACATCAAAACACAGTTTATAATTCAAATTTTAATATTATCTATATTTTAATTTCTGAGTTAGAAGAATATAAAGAACATAATGCTAAATATCAATTTTTGTTTGACACATAGCACCTATTATTGTCTTATTACTCAGTTTATATTTTATTACACCTACCATACAACGTATACAGTGGTTACCGAATTAGAAACTTGAATTTGATATATAGACAAGCTAAAATTTAAAATAAGAACCTCATATTGCTGTAATGAAAGTACTAAATGGTATATTCAAAAATAATTTTGTTTGTAAAATTACTTTGTTATGGAAACTTATGGTTTAGAATAAAATATTATCATGAAAAGAACTATAGTAATAATAATCTGTAATATTTGATAAATAAATCATTATTTATGACATATATTTAACATAAGTTTTTAATTTTGTTCTTTATTCGTTTGACTACAAAACAGTATTGTTTAGAATGTTTACAATACATTGACTTGTAATATGCTTACAGTACTACAACCCGGTGAATTTAACATGTGGAGTATATACAGGCCTACATACAACTCTCTGAATTTAATGTGTTTACAACATATTTGACAAGTATAGTACTTTTACAATGCTATAACTTAGTGAGTGTATTGTGCTTACATTTAGAGTATCTGCAACACACTGACTTCTTCTTTGGCTATTCCCTTTATGTGTGTTGCCCTCCTTCAATTATCTTTATTGATTGGCAGGTCTCCTGCAATTACTTTCTCGTTGATGTCTTCCACAAGGGTCCTTTATGGTACTCCTTACTCAAGATGTTGATGACAATGACAAACAGCAGGGGGCTAACAGCTGACCCTTGGTGCAGCCCAACATTTACTTCAGACTTGTCCGTTTCTCTGTATACCATCTTCACGATTGTTGTCACCCCTTCATAAGTGGCTCTCACTATTCTGTTCAACTTTTTGGTCACTCCTTTCTTTTGTAGGCACCAGTATATTAATTCTTGTGGCACCTTGTCATATGCTTTCTCCTAATCTCCAAATGCATATAGAACTTCTTGTTTCCTTCAAGGTACTTCTCTTGTATCTGTTGCAGAATGAAGATTGTGTCTGTTGTTCCTCTCCCAGGCTGAAACCCAAACTGTATTTCATCTATGTCTTTGACTTCTCTTATTCTCTTTTCCAGTAATTTTTCTTTCACTTTCAGCAGATATTCCACCAGTTTTATTCCACTATAGTTTTCACATTCTCTCTCTCCTTTCACGTTTCTTAATCCATAGTCTCTCCTCCCATGTGTTCTTTTAAACCTGTTCACTGTCTCCTACATGTGCATCCAGATCTGCTCCCACAATCAACACCTAGTATCCCTATAATTATACCTTGTAGTTTCTCTTCAAAATTCTCTTTCTCCTCATTAGAGCATAACCAGACATTGTTCAGCAACCATTTCTTTGTTGTCATCTTTACTCACAAGTCAGTCCAATGTTCTCTCTACTTTGATCACTTTCATCTTGAATTCATTATCTAACACAATTCCTTCCTTTTGACCCTCCTGAGTAGAACAGTTTACACTCATCTCTTTCATACTCTATCCTTTCCACTTGAGCACACGCAATCTTTACTCTTCTTCTTTCTAGCGCATGTACTAGTTCTTTGCTTCTTCCAGTCATCATACCAACATTCCATGTTACTATCTTTAGTTTCCAAGCTCTCTTCTTTAGCTGCCTTTGCTGGTCTAGTGGTACCCTTTGCCAACTCTTCACACCTTCCGTGGGATGGCAATGCACATTGCCTATGTGGGATGCTCTGGTTCTGCTCCATATTTCTATTATAAAGTTTTTTATTTCTGGGTTGCAAAACCTGGTGGCAACAATCCTCTCTTCTCAACTGGACTTGGGACTTGCTATGCAGAGTTATTTGCAATACATTGACTCATGTAGTGTTTACAATGCATTGAACAAGTGTAGTACTTTTACAGTACTAGAACTCTGTGAATTTAGTGTGTTTACATTTAAAGTACTCACAACACATTGACTCTTGTAGTGCTTTTACATTGCTACTACTCAGTGAATTCAGGTGTTTACATGTAGAATGTTTACAACACATTGGACTAATGTAGTACATTTATAGTGCTGCATCTCAGTGAGTCTAATGTAAACACACTAAAAAATTAGTTGAATGAAAGACAGACTTTTGTAACTTACAAGCAATAAAGCTACATCTAAGCCTGATGAAGGAGAATTGACTGAAACATTGCTAGAAATAAAGAGATTAAAAT